CAGGGGAGCTCATGCCCATCTGCTACTGTGTACTCCTGCCCCAAGGCCCCAATTACTAAAACCCTTAAGTCAGTGTTTCCCAAACTTGGGACGCTGCTTGTGTAGGGAAAGCCCCTGGCGGGCTGGGCCGGTTTGTTTACCTGCCGCATCCACAGGTCCAGACGATCACGGCTCCCACTGGCTGAGGTTCGCTGCTCCAGGCCAATGGGAGCTGCTGGAAGCAGCGGCCAGTACGTCCCTCGGCCCGTGCCGCTTCCAGCAGCTCCCATTGGAACTGGAGCAGCGAACCGCGGCCAGTGGGAGCCCGGCCCGCCAGGGGCTTTCCGTACACAAGCGGCGTCCCAAGTTTGGGAAACACTGCCTTATGATATAGCCACAATGCAAAAAGAACCTCATAGCAGCAAGTCTCCGAACCTGGGGTCAACTAGCTCCAGCTTGTGGGGCTCAAGCGATAGGGCTGAAAATAGAGCATTAGACGTTCCTGCTTGGGCTGGGGCCCAGGCTCCGAAACCCAGCAAGGGGGAAGGTCTCAGACCCCAGGATCCAGCCTGTGTGAGAACATCGACACTGCTAATTTTAGCCCAGTAGCACGAGCCCTGCAGACCCGAGTCAGTTGACCTGGGCGCTCAGATGTGCTGCCGTTGGGTTTGTTTTGCAGTGGAGACGGATCGAGTCTGTCTACACCGCAGTTAGAAGTGGGGCTTCCACACGTGTCGATTTACCTGAGCTCGCGTGGATCTAGCTAGCTCGCCTGATAACAGCAGTGAAGGCATGGCCACACTGACTAGCTGCTGGAGGACATACCCAGGGTCCTGGGTGGGCTTGGACAGCCCATGCTGCCATGGCTTCATTGCTGTTGTCATTCGAGGTACCTAGATCAAAGCAAGCTCAGCTACATCTCCATGTATTGCAGTCACATCTCTGACTGCAGGGTAGACATACCCTTGAAGGTTCAGCTGTCCCTATGACTGGGACATTGGGTATAATTTCAGGCCTCCCATCCTTTGCAGTGGAACTTTAACAAGGCCCAAGGTGTGGCACAGTATAAGATACTATTAAGATGCCAGTGCTAGCCCGGCAGCGGTAGTAGAGGGAATTTTGAGGCTGTTAAACTTTATGGCATAAATTCATCCCTGGTGTAACTCCACCAGTGCGAACGGATGAATTTGGCTTTACGGGTATCTCCAGTGTAGCTGGATTACAGTAACTTCCCTGCTGAATGACTTTCCCCGGCTTCTCAGTATTAAATGGCTGTAATAATAGACCATTTCTCTCGTTGGCTGTATCGGTCTAATGGCTGCCCTCTGGGCTGCCGTGTAAAATACACAGGCACAGCTGTTTCGTGGCCACCTGTAGGATAACCCTGTGCTGCTTTACAATAGCAACGTTTGCTTTTCTCTTACTACAACATATGGGGCCAGGCCGAAGCTGCAGGGACAATGCCTCTGAGCAGGGCTATTCAGAGGCAGGCGCACAATGCCCATCACCAGGTTTCTTTCCCTGTCAAACCCTGGAAGCATCACCCCTCTAAATGCTGTCTGGCGAGCAGATGAACCATTCCAAGGAGCACCATCTTACCAAGGCATTCCTTCCAGAAAGGTCGCAGCAGAGTGCTTTGCCATAGCCACAGGCGCTCAGATAGCAGGTCATCGCCGCTAACCTACAGGAAAGCAGGACTGTGTTCCCAGCATGCCCTGAGGGTTCTACTCCATATTAGCTACACTTACAAAATTCTACTCACCAGCTCACTCGGGGAGTGTCATTTTTTCCCCATCTAGTAGAAGGCAGACAAGTAGGTTTTATACCTGAGCTGCTAAATGTTCATGGCTCCTCCGCAAAGCTAATTTACAGGGTTGAGGCTCAGATCCTGCACAGGGATACACCTGCAAGGAGTCCCACAGAAGTCAGTGGGAATGCACGCAAGTGTAAGGGCCTGCACTGTGGAGCGGGACCGGAGAGGGCAAAATGGAAGTTCAGAATGCTGAGTGACCTCCCAGAAATGCTGCACAGAGCTGCCAAACCCTGCTCTGCATCTCCTATCAAAAGCCCCGTCAGCCTTGCAGAGGGACTCGCCTGAAACTAGGCTCTTCGAAATCCCAATTACACATAATCCATGGGCATCTAAAGTGAACATACCCCATGGCGGGTGTTTGAACAGGCTGGGGACGTGCAAGCCAAGCATGATCACAGGCGAGCAGCAGCTGCGGGCACTACAGGCAGTTCTGTCTGCAGCCAGGGATGTCAGCTGTAGAACATGTGTGGTTCGGTAGGGAAGGGATACACCTTGGGGAGATTTTCCACCCCCTCCCCATCCTTTTGATGACATTCCTTTCACAGTGCTCACTGCTCAGGAAAGCAGGCAGATGCTCCGTGCTGTCAAACTCCAGGAGCAAGCAATATCCATTGTGAAAATACAATATTACTGCAGTATTTTCTAGTCACAGCCCAAAACGCTACCACTTTCAACAGGGCTTCTGTTGTATCTTGACCCACTGCAACAGGATGCAACTTCCACCCATCTTCTCTGTCATCCTTCATGAAAAATAATATAGTATTCAACGGTGCTGGCCCCAAAGCACTGCTGTAACACTAGTGCACGCTCCTGCTCTATGCACGGTTACTCCAAAATGCTGTGGTATGTTCTGACAAGGGACCACAGAGGTGAGTGCTGGCTTTAATAGTCTACAGTTCAGTGTTTCTCCAGCTCTTCACCTCGGCGACCCCTTATTCAAAGTCAAAAATGTTCAAAACCCCATTACAGTTGCTAGAGAGTCAAGACATCATGCATCAGTGATAACAATGGGCTGCCTATATAATCTACGTGTGAGTGTGTGTTTCGAGAGGTTGACAGAGACTACTTGACCTGTCTATAGTATTGGTCTTCTCTGTTGTAAGGAAGATGATTATGGACTGAAACACTGTGGGCCACTACTGTAGGAGATTTTTTTTTATAAGGGATTGAAAAGAGGTAAAGCATTCAGACACCACAGTGACAAGTGTGTTGTAAATTCCTAGACAGAGAGACAGCTGCTCAGTCATGAAGCGAACCCAGCAGTAGTTATTTCTTGGCCAGCAGAACTGCTACATCAATCAGCCATCTCTCACTATTGAATCTGTCTTTGATGTAGCTTGGGCAGAGGAAGGGAAGGGGAGAGTATGTGACATGTAGGCTGCGCACAGTGAGTCTTGCTATGGCTTGAATAACAGGATTTGGTTTTCTTTCCCTTTCCAGGTACTGGCTAACAAACAAAGTGCACATAAAACGACCAACCACTGGCCTGCTCATGTACACCCTGGCCACGCGCTTCTGCAACAGGATCTATCTCTATGGCTTCTGGCCTTTTCCCCGGGATCAGAACCAGAACCCCGTCAAATACCACTACTATGACAGCCTGAAGTA